TGGCGCAAAAAGGTTTCCTTTAGACTTGAGAAAGCCTCGACTGCCCATGGAATTAGGTGCAGGTCAGGTATGGCTTGCGGCGAAAATCTCTTCCTTGCGTCTGAATGAGCCTAAGCTTGAGCTTGATCTTGATCTTGACTGGGCATGCGTCCAATTTTTATTTGACCCAAAGAAATGTTTTCCCCGCTTGTTTGATGGGGGACCGTTTGCTTTGCGCTGAAGCCTGATGATAAAAAAAAAAAAAACAAGCCAAGCGACGATCAGCAGGACAGATATACTCTCCGCCGGCTGTCGCCATCGTGGGCTGAAAAGCTTCAGGCCCTGCAAAATGAAGGGCACATGCGGGCATGGCTGACAGGTCTGGTGCTAAGTGACGGGGTCAACCAGCGCGCGTTGGGGCGGGTTGGCGGGCACCGGCTACCCTACCCCCCCTTCTCAAAGCCCAGCTACCAAGGGGCTTGAGGGGATCGGGCAGCCCACGCCCGGGGCTTGACCCGCGGATAGAGACATGTGCGATGTACCTTACCGACCAGATTGGAAAGACGGGATGTGGACAGGCCACCAAGCGTCGAGGGGAAGACGAACAGGGGGGGAGAGGGGGCTGGAATCGCTGGATCCGTCATCCCAGCCACAGCCTCCACACCCACGACCCCTGTCCATTCCTAAGACCCGCACTTCCTAAACGCCCGCCGTGGAATTACCGGGAGGAGGTCAGCGCAAACTCACCTAACCCACCCCTTCCCCTTCACTCCCAAAGAACGCTGCGCGGCTTCCCCCCAATTTCTTCCTGTCGCCAACTCGATCCTGGCCTGGAACGCATCTTCTCGTCTGTAGATTGATCACGACCTCCTCGACCGCCATCAGCATCCCCCCACCTGTGCCTCTCCATCCCTACCTGACATTGCGATCAAGGGGAACGGGCACGACGAGGGTCAATTCCTTACAGCTGTCAAAGTTTATTTCTCCGTCCTTGTTGCGCCGTTGTCTCGTCCGACCTCGTCGGAGCACATCCTCGGTGCATGGTCTACCAAAAACATCGGTAGCCATCCCAGACCAGAACGATAGACAGAGGTCAGCTGACGTCTGTCTGGTCTGCACCCTCTCGACACGCCATCGCTTCTCTCATCAGCTCGAGCATCACCGCCGGCTCGCATTGCGATCGCAGCTGTCGATTCGCACCCCAGCCTCGCCTTTGCCTGTCGCGATAGTTCCGTGTCCATCGCTCTCGTAGGCCGAGCAAGCCTTGACCTGCTACACCCAAACCTCTGATCACGACGCGATTATTGCCATGGCAAACCATCATCCTTCGCCGACAATGGCGATGCAGGCGCAACATGGCCCTCCTGGGCCGCCCCCGCCCCCAGGTCCTCCCCAACAAGGCCAGGGTTTCGCGCCATCGCGCCAGGCGTCCTTCGTCATAGAAGCCATGTGGATGCAAGTTGGTAAGTATATCGGTGACCATTCCTTATCGGCACGGAAGATTAACTGTGATTTCAGGCAGCTGCTGCGAAGCGCTCGGTGATCTCGACGAGGCCATCTTGGCGTACGAGGCCGCTCTGCGGGCGAATCCCCAGTCCATCCAGGCTATGAACGCCATCAGCTTGATTCTGCGAACCCGCGAGCACTTCGCGAAGGCCGTCGAATATCTACAGGCCGTTCTCAAAATTGATGCGCACAATGGCGAAGCCTGGGGCAGCCTTGGTACGCAAATCCCTAACCTTCATGCCCTCAGTCCCACGGCCTGTTAACATGTAGTATAGGTCATTGCTACCTTATGATGGACGACTTGCAACAGGCATATAGCGCGTACCAGAATGCTCTCGTCAACCTACGCAACCCCAAGGTCAGCTACCGCGAACACTTGATACCATGCTTGGTTTACTGACCTCTCCTCAGGAGCCCCGATTGTGGTATGGCATCGGCATTCTGTACGACCGATATGGTTCCCTCGAGCACGCCGAAGAAGCCTTCTCCCAAGTCATGCAGATGGATCCGGCGTTCGAAAAGGCCAACGAGATTTACTTCCGTCTCGGTATAATTTACAAACAGCAACAGAAATATGGCCCAAGTCTCGAGGTACGTTCTTCATCCCCAGAAAGGTGACATGCCTTACTGACCATCAACTAGTGCTTCAAATACATTGTGTCATCACCGCCTTCCCCCCTGAGCGAGGAAGACATCTTGTTCCAGATCGGTCATGTTCACGAACAGCAGAAGGACGTAAGTTTCGCCATTCACAGCAGACCGGAGCACGGCTGACATATATGCACACAGTATGATAGCGCCAAAGCAGCCTACCAGCGCGTCCTCGAGCGCGATCCCAGCCATGCCAAGGTACTGCAACAGCTCGGCTGGCTTCATCACCAGGAGAGCACCAACTACCAAAGTCAAGATCGGGCTATCGAGTTCCTTGAGAAATCAGTCGCTGCCGACCAGAACGACGCACAGAGCTGGTACCTTCTCGGACGATGCTACATGTCGCAGCAGAAATACCCCAAGGCTTACGAAGCTTACCAGCAGGCCGTCTACCGCGACGGTCGGAACCCAACCTTCTGGTGTTCGATCGGTGTGCTATACTATCAGATCAATCAGTACAGGGATGCTCTCGATGCTTACTCGCGCGCTATCCGACTCAACCCGTTCATCTCGGAGGTTTGGTATGACTTGGGTACCTTGGTAAGCTAATAGACCTTTTCCCCCGATGGTACACCCCAGCTCACAAAATTGGCAGTACGAGTCCTGCAACAACCAGATCAGCGACGCCTTGGACGCTTATCAACGTGCTGCGGAGCTTGATCCAGCCAACCCTCACATCAAGGCGCGACTGCAGCTCTTGCGCAATGGTACCGCCAATGGAGCACCGCTGCCCCGCGCACCTGAGCCATCTGATATCCACGCCGCCTCTTACCAGGTCGGCCCACCGGCGCCCCCGTGGGCAGGTTCCGGGCCTCAACAGCAACAGCAGCAGCAGCAGCAGCTCCCGCCGCAGCCTCCTCCACCGGCGGCCGGCCCCGGCCAACACTCTTGGGGTCGTCTCGCGGATATCAACCCTCCTCCCCAACCGGGCAACCCGTTTGACCAACGAGGAGAGCAGTTCCGCGGCCCTGCGCCCCCTCTTCGCCAGCCAAGCCCCCCTCGTCAGGAGCAGCATGCGCGCCCTCAATATCCTGAGACCAGCCGTCCTGGCTCGGTCCGCCGGGGGCCTACTCCCCCCCCTCCGGTCCACTATTCGTCTGGCCCTCCTCCCCCTCCTCAGTCTCACCAGGCTCCTACCTCGCAGCGCGGGTGCCTAACCCCAACTATGTCCCTACGCCTTCCTCAGCACAAATGCCATCAATGAATCCTGGCCCGAACGGGGGACCGCCACCCAGTCAACCCCCCTTCCGCGGTGCCAACAGCCCAAGGCCTGGAGAGCGTCCCGTTCACGAGAACCGCATGCCTTCGCCCAAGTCGGCTTACCCCCAGCACCAGCCTCCTCCCCCAGCTCCTTATGGACACCACCCAGAGGGACCCGGCACGCCCCTGGAGGGCCCGCAGCAGCAAGCACCGGCTCCCATGTCGGCCGAACCGGCGCCACGGAGCGAACATGATCGACCAGCGTCAGTTGGACCTAAACGCATGCGCGAGTGGGAGGAGGAGTCGACGCACAAGCGTCCCGCCAACGATGAGAACAGAGCCCGTCTTGATGACGTCCGTCCTCGCAGGCCTTCGACCCCTCCCGGTCCACGCGAGCCATATAGGCGAAACTCATCTGAAGCTCGCCGATTCGATGACCAACGTCGCCTCGATGACCAGCGTCGGGCGGACGACCAGCGTCGGGCAGACGACCAGCGGAGGCAAGACGATCAACGGAGGCAAGACGATCAACGGAGGCAAGACGACATGCGCAGAGCCGAGGAGCAACAGCGCCAGCCTCAGAACGATGGATACCACCCCTCTGATGCCGCTCACCACCCGCCTGGCCAGCCCTTGTCCGCTAATCATTTGCCTCCCATGCAGGCGTCAGCCGCACCTATGCAAGGCGTCGTTCACGGAAGCCCCGTCCAGAACGCGCCGCCTGCTCCTCCGTCAAAGGAGTACCCTGCCGCTGAGGAACGTCCTGCATCTGAGCAGGCTCCTCCTGTGCGTTCTGCTGCTCCGAGCGAGCCTGAGCGAGCTGCTCGCAAGATGGACGTTGATGAAGATTACGATGATAGTGGTGAGGACGAGAAGAAGGTCCCAGCAGCGACCACGAATGGATCAGGCCCCGCGCCGGCTGCGGGCGAGACAAAGCCGCCCACAAGCGGCAGCGTCAATGGGTCGTTGGGGCCTCAGCCTAAGGTTGAGTCCACCTAATGCAAGAATCAAAGGCCTGACTGGCCGGGTTGTGTTTTCTTTTGTCCGTCTTCCGTACCGATTCCCTTTCATTGCCTTGTATACCACTTCATTTTTACAGACCAGCTCTCTCGAGAAGGCTTTCGTTTGACGAGGACTCGGCGCACGACGGCTTATCTCGATAGTTTCACGAATGAACATAAATCAAAGACCAGTTTCGCTTGCCTTCGATCTACAGGACTGAGTTCTGTATGATGTGTGACCGTGAAGTGATCTTGTAGCTGACTGGTCACGTGACGACAATTGGAGAGACTAACCATAGGCGGGGCGCTAGCGGGCTCTAGCTCTGACGACTGGACCACTCGCACAGAACCACCCCACCAAATCAAGAAAAGTATGGCACACGTGACTAGGGTACCCGAGCCAGCCGCCAATTGAGTACACCAAACACCACTGAGCAGGAGCAAAACTCCAAAGTGGGTCAGCCTAGGGCTTTTTTTTCTCGCAGTGGCTGCCCTCCCATCTGGTCGTCTTTTGCGAACCACCATCTAGATACCCTCTTCCTCATACCTCTCCGATTGATCACCCTCACAACCCACGAGATCAGTCGCCCAACATGTCTCACCGAAAGTACGAGGCCCCTCGCCACGGTTCGCTGGCGTACCTGCCGCGCAAGCGTGCCGCCCGTCACCGCGGAAAGGTCAAGTCGTAAGTTGCAGCGTTCCCCTGGAAGAAAACGTCGGCTGGTCCGCTGGAAGAGAAAATCAAAGTCTCTGACATGTCGACTCTCGCACAGCTTCCCCAAGGATGACCCCAAGAAGCCCGTCCACCTGACGGCCACCATGGGCTACAAGGCTGGCATGACCACCATTGTCCGCGACCTCGACCGTCCCGGCGCGAAGGCCCACAAGAAGGAGGTCGTTGAGGCCGTGTCCATCATTGATACCCCCCCTGTACGAGCAACGCAGCCCGCTTGGCTTGAGTGCCTATGGCTAACATCTTCTAGATGGTCGTTGTTGGTCTCGTGGGCTACATCGAGACTCCCCGCGGTCTGCGCTCGCTCGCCACCGTCTGGGCCGAGCACCTGAGCGACGAGGTCCGTCGTCGCTTCTACAGGAACTGGTACAAGTCCAAGAAGAAGGCCTTCACCAAGTACGCCAAGAAGCACTCCGAGTCCAGCGGTGCCTCCATCACCCGCGAGATTGAGCGCATCAAGAAGTACTGCTCCGTCGTCCGTGTCCTCGCCCACACTCAGATCCGCAAGACGCCCCTCAAGCAGAAGAAGGCCCACCTTATGGAGATCCAGGTCAACGGTGGCTCCGTTGCCGACAAGGTCGACTTCGGCTACGGTCTCTTCGAGAAGGAGGTGTCCGTTGACTCTATCTTCGAGCAGGACGAGATGATCGATGTCATCGCCGTCACCAAGGGTAAGGGTTTCAACGGTGTCACCTCCCGTTGGGGCACCAAGAAGCTTCCTCGCAAGACCCACAAGGGTCTGCGTAAGGTCGCCTGTATCGGTGCCTGGCACCCTTCCCACGTCCAGTGGACTGTTGCCCGTGCCGGTCAGATGGGTTACCACCACCGTACCTCGGTCAACCACAAGGTTTACCGTATCGCCAAGGCCGGTGCCGAGGACAGCGCTTCCACCGAGCTCGACGTCACCAAGAAGGTTATCACTCCGTACGTTCTCCCCATTCCATGATTTACCCATAAAAAACGTGTTTGCTGACAGAACTCCAGCCTTGGTGGCTTCGTCCGCTACGGCGAGATCAACAACGACTTCGTCATGGTCAAGGGCTCCATCCCCGGCCCCAAGAAGCGTGTTGTCACTCTCCGCAAGTCCATGTTCGTCCACACCTCGCGCCGCTCCAACGAGAAGATCACCCTCAAGTGGATCGATACCTCGTCCGAGTTCGGACACGGCGCCTTCCAGACGCCCGCGGAGAAGAAGCAGTACCAGGGTACTCTCAAGAAGGATCTCGTCGCTGCGTAAAAAGACTTTCGACAGCTGGGGGTTTTCTTGTATCTGGGTCATTGCAAAGGTGTCGAGGGTTCTTTCTCGCGCTTATCGGGATGGTTTGGGGCATTCAAAACGGTTGACTTGAGGAGCCACGAACCCAAGAACGAAGAAAGGAATGATATCCCATGAATAATGCTTGAGCGTGATGTGAAAATAATTTGTGTATGGGAATGCAACTGATGTGTAACTTGAATATGACGCCGCCTGTAATGCAGCTCAACCTGTCTGTTCGACGTGAGCTTTTGTCAGTGTGGGTCATTCGCTCATCGTGGTGTCGCCCGAGGAATCTGGACCAGTAGGAAGGGGTTGCGTCATTCCACCCAAGCAAGTCTGCTTGCTGCACCACCCACCCTTCCACCATGGCTGCTGTCTACCTTCCCAAGCTGTCTTCTTCTGCAACAACAAATTCTGCGATACGATTCACGTCGACACTCCGAACCATTCCATTCATCTGTTCGACACGGACAACACCTATCTCGCAGTTGCTGATTCCTCTCCAACCCATCCCTCTTCGAGTCCGGCGGAACATCACCACGACCTCTTTCACAACCTTCCACGCAACACCCCGCACAATGGGCTCGGACGAAGACTACATGGCTTTCCTCGATAAGGCGAACGAGGACCCCTCTGCCGGTCGTGCTAAGCCAGCCAGCGCTTCCGGAGGCGGCGCCCAGCTGAAGGCGCAGGACAACGGCGTCGAGGTGCCCGAGGCGATTGCGGCACAGCTCAAGGGCGGAGACAAGATCTACGTGTCCGAGGCGGACGAGCCATTCGAGGGCGTCGCGCTCAGCTGGAGCAAGGGGTTGCCTGACGAGGGTAGGTCGTGCCCTTTTGTCCAGATGAACCTGACAATGAGAATGCTAATGCAAGAGTGCAGTACAATTCGCAGAGCTGGTGGAGCACCCCGAGCCGAATGACGCGGACGTCGATATCCTGGATCCCTTCGACTGGGACTCCGAGGGCAACTACAAGGAGCTGATCGAGGCGGTGAGGGAGGCGAGCAAGGGGAACGACGTGAGGGTGTACAAGATTTCGCGGGGCGGTGCGAGGTTCGAGTACTGGGTCCTGACGGTGCTTGGTGAGGGCAAGGATGGCAGATTGGTCGGTGCCAAGGCACTGTCGGTCGAGTCTTAATCTAATAGTTATGGGGAGCGGTTGAAAGGTCAATGTCAAGTGTAAATAGCACAAGGTGATGGTCTCATCGGGGCTTTGTTCACACATGTTGTGCCGTCGCAAGACACAGTGATGACGCTCGGCAGTGTGGTCTCATGAGTATCACTTCTCGCTGGAAACTCGGGGGGGACGCAGATTGTCATGTCCCATGCAAGTCAGTCCGTCCTCGCGGCGTTCTTCATCTTCCAAAACACCATAGGTAGGTAAGTCATCATCTTGACCAGTCTCTCGGTGTGGTCCCCACCCCCAGAAGGCCTTGGTGGTGGGCCCGGCAGCTGTCCCTCCGCTTATCGCCGTTATCGGGCAAATCGTCTAGCCACGACCCCTCCAACAACTGGGATGTTCGGAAATCTTTCGATGGGTGTAGACAGCGTCGTAATGAGTCAAAGGTTAACACCGCCTAATCTGCCGCGTACCCCTTAGAGCCTCCCCTCGAGGCCAGATCACCATGGCTGTTTCTGTAAACCCTCACCCTACGCCAATTGACACTGAAATCCACTGACCATGTCTTCCCAGCGTGGTGTCATCCCCTCACTCGAGACGGTGAGGAGCATCGTCGACGCTCCTGCACCATCCTCCGGCAAGAAGCCCAACCTCATTCCTGTCTACCGTCAGATCACCTCCGACCTCATTACCCCGTCCGCTGCCTACCTGAAGGTGTCGGCTCACAACCCCGACTCGGACTATTCGTTTCTCTTCGAAAGCGCCGCCACCGAGCGTGTTGGTCGTTACAGCTTCGTCGGTGCCGGGCCACGAAAGGTCCTCGCCACAGGTCCTGGCTTTGGTCCAGAATGCGATCCACTACCGGCCCTCGAGGCTGAGCTTGCCCAGTATACTGTCGCCCACGTTCCCGGCTTGCAGCTTCCACCCATGACAGGCGGAGCCATTGGGTATGCGTCATATGATCTCGTCCGATACTTTGAGCCCAAGACGGCGCGGACAATGAAGGATGTTCTACAGATCCCCGAGAGCTTGTTCATGCTGTTCGACACGATTGTGGCTTTTGATCGCTTCTACGGCATCATCAAGGTCATCACATTTTTGCACGTTCCCGAAGATCCCGCCCAAATCGAGGCCGTGTACGAAGCCGGCAAGAACACGATCGACGAGCTCATCGCCGTGCTCAACGCCCCCGAGGTTCCGCTTCCCGAACAGGGCCCCATCGAACTGGGCCACGAATACACCTCCAACATTGGCCAGGCCGGCTACGAGGGCCACGTCCGCGCCCTTAAGGAGCACATCGTCAAGGGCGACATTATCCAGGCCGTACCCTCCCATCGCCTCGCGCGCCCGACGTCACTGCACCCCTTCAACATATACCGCCACCTGCGCACCGTCAATCCGTCGCCCTACCTCTTCTACATCAACTGCCGCGACTTCCAGATCGTCGGCGCCTCGCCGGAGCTGCTCGTCAAGTCGGAGAACGGCCGCGTCATCACGCACCCCATCGCCGGCACCGTCAAGCGCGGGCGCACGCCCGAGGAGGACGAGCGCCTCGCCGACGAGCTGCGCAGTTCGCTCAAGGACCGCGCCGAGCACGTCATGCTCGTCGACCTCGCGCGCAACGACGTCAACCGCGTTGGCGACCCGCGCACCGTCAAGGTCGACCACCTCATGGTTGTCGAAAAGTTCAGCCACGTCCAGCACCTCGTCAGCCAGGTCTCGGGCGTGCTGCGCCCGGACCAGACCCGCTTCGACGCCTTCCGCAGCATCTTCCCTGCCGGCACCGTCAGCGGCGCCCCCAAGGTGCGCGCCATGGAGCTCATTGCCGAGCTCGAGGGCGAGAAGCGCGGCGTCTACGCCGGCGCCGTCGGCTACTTTGGCTATGGCGGCCTCGACGACAAGGGCGACGACGTCGAGGGCGCCATGGACACGTGCATTGCGTTGAGGACCATGACGGTCAAGGACGGTGTGGCGTACCTGCAAGCCGGTGAGTCTACCAAGTCCTCCCTTCCGCTTTTTCACACCCCGAGGGGGTTAGAACAGTGTATGTTAACATGATCGGCTAGGTGGCGGTATTGTCTTCGACTCGGACGAGACAGATGAGTGGGTTGAGACGATGAACAAGCTCGGCGCGAACATCAACTGTGTCACTACAGCTGAGGAGCTATACTATGAGCAGCAGCAGAAGCAGGAGGAGGCTAGCAAGGCGTAGAATACCAAACTTTCGACTCACCTCCACCATATATTGATTGTATTGCATGCGCGGACGTGACAAGGGGGACGGAATCTCGCTTCCCAGGTGCTCATGTCACAGGGGGAGGGGCGGTTGGGGAAAGACCCACGCAGGTTGGAAAGGATTCTGCCCGCGGCCACCGCCCTCGGTACCACTATAAAACCAGCTCGATTCTCGTCCTCCTTCTCTTCTTGACCTTTTTTCCTTTCTTCATACTTACCTTGTTCAGTCGAGAGAAGATCATGAATTTCTCTCGGCAAAGAGGATGGCCTACATTGCACAACGTGGAGTCGGCCTCTTTCGATTGTCCTTCGGGGCCATCGTGGGCGGAATTTTTGATTTACAACCTTGTTTTCATTGCTACTGCTGCCTTGTGCATCTTGGTGAAGAAGACACTGTTCGAGGTAGTAAGCTGGTCAGAGCTGGCATTGGTAGCTGTTCACGAGGGTCCGTACGGCTACTTGCGTGTTGCTGTGTATGTATTTCCATAGACAGCTCTGGCTTGGTGGTTTGAAAGAGTATCTTCATGACGAACGATGGAATGGCATTATTGTCAATTGCCATTGCGACTTGGTGCCACGCATGCTTAGTTGCCCCAGACGCGTACTGTCAGCATCCCAGTGTTTTCTAAAGCAGTTCTTGTAGCATAGATCAGTTACCCACCACATCATCGCACAGAAGAAGCTGCGTTCTGATCACATTTGTACGCTTCAGCACGGCAAAGCGCGGTTGTACCGTACTGTAAGTGCTTCCCACAGGACGACCTAGGGAACTAGATACCTTGATCGAATAAAGACCATGTTGCCGGGTAAATCTGGAAGACTGGTCTGTTCGCTGACGCCGGCTTGACAAGTCAGCACGCCATCAGCTTGAGGCGTGAAGTGCCACCCAATATTACAACGGCAGTCGTCGGTCATCACGGTAACTTGGTCATAGCATGAGGTGTATAGACTCGATTACTCTATTGACCGACCATCAGCCGCTGCCTCAGACATCACGTCCGCAACCAGCGTTGGACACGAATCCCGTCTTCACGCACCCATTAAGTCCCAGCCATGAAGCGTAACAGTGGTGCCTCGGACGCCCTGCTCATCACACCCGTGCCAACTGCCTCGTGACACCAATACCGAAACGCCCACAAATCTCCCCGCCGGTAAGTCCACCACACGTCGTATGTACACAAACCTTCTAACGCCATAGTGAAAACAGAACACAATGCCCAACCGCTCCTTTATCTAGGGTATCAGGACCGGGGTATCTACCGGAAAACACACCACGCACCAAGTAAAACCATGCAATAGGGACAGAGAGAAAAGGAATGGGAGCCCAACCATCAGTGGAGTTACATCCAGATGACGAAGATGAGCGAGACGATGGCTAATGCGCAAGCCATGCCGGCAAAGTGCTTGTTGCCGGGAGCAGAAGGAAGGAATGTGGCTGTTGCGGAGAACAGGTCGCTCGTAGAGCGGATTCGAGGTGTTGTCGAAGCTGGTTGCTTTTCCTGCGCGGTGGCAGTTGTCGGCGAGGACAAGTTGTTGTTCCGAACGGGAAGCTTGACTTGGTTGGCATTGGCGTGCCTGCGTGCCGAGGCGCTGCGAGGTTGCTGGCGGCGAGCGGAGGATTGAAGCTCGATATCACGAGATGGCCTGCCGAGGAGGGCTTGGTCGTGTTTGGCGTCAACTTTCAATTGATGCGCACCATCTCAACAGGGTGCTTCTTCGGAGGGCGGGCATATCTAGGTAATCCGCATCGACTTCAGACGAATGACCAGACATGGACCTTCGCGCGCAAGCATCCATCTGGGGCTGGGTACAAACCGGGAGCGGACCTATAATGGCATGTCACAGGAGGCCAGTCATTCGTGAACAGGCAACACTCACGTGGAGGTCATGGACCTGGAGAGCTTCGAACCCGGTCAAGATACAAGCAGTGGCATCCTTGGACAGCGACAGGAGCCCACCGCGCGAGGCGTCCCAGCCCGTATGGCAGGCTAGAACAGTCTTCGCGTCAAGCAGACCACCTTGGCATTGTTCAGATCCTACGAGCAATTCGTCTGATGAGGCTCAGGTCAGCACATGTCCAACTGCAGGGTCGCGCAGAAGCGAAGGAACTGACTTGGAGGTAATTGACAGGTGAGACCTGTGTCAACGGGTGCGAGGGCAGCTCCAGCGCCTAGCAGCGCCGAAGCGACTATAGAGTACCGCATGTTGTCTAGAGCATGAGGTAGTGTGTTCGAGCAGGTTCCGAAGCGAGTGTGACTGTCGCGCAGAGCTGACGTGCCGAGCGAGCAGGAACAGGAGCAGAAGCAGTGATAGCGAAGGTGATTGGGATGGTAGCGAAGATTTGCAATTAAGCTCAGTCGTCAGGGTCAACCGATGGCGGGGGAGGGGATCCGGTCCAGAGCTCTGGCGCAGAGTGCCTTGCTCGTTCCTCCTGGTCTGGACAACCTTGGGAATGTCTTTGTGCTGTCGTGTTGCCCCACGGTCCACGAGGTTCTGAGGAATGTTTCGCTGGGTGACCCCGTTCTTCCCCGGCCAACTGAAACGAGTGATGGGGTGCGGGTCAGGGTTTTTGTCGAGGGCGAGATCCGAGACTGCCGTCGAGTCGGGCTGTCAGGTCAATTGAGTCGAGATTTTCGCAGTGGGAGCTTGAGAGCCAAGCTTGAGCTGTCGCGATGTAGGCGGAGCAGAACTAACGATTGTATTCTTGGGAGAGCTTCAAGCCAGACGCAGCGGGGAGGAGGGAGCGTCTGCTTCGAGGGGGTCCCGTAGGATGTCTTTAAAAAAGTGGCCTGGCCTTGCCTTGGAAGAAGGGTAGCTAGCCTTGGGACCTTGTGAGCCGATCCCGGTATGGTACTGGATGGAGCTGGAGCGGCGAGCGAGTGATGAAGCGAGAGAGGGAGAGAGATAAAGTAACGCACTAGAAGGCTAGCAGCGAAACCCCATGGTCTGACTAGTAAAGCACGCCGCGACCACAGTGGCGGGCAGAGTCGAGAAAGATCTTGTTTTCGGGTGTCTTGGGTTTTTTTTCCTCTCTTTCTCTCTCTGGTCCTAGTCCTAGTCCTGGTCCTAGTCCTTGAAGGCCGGGCCCGTCGAGTCCTACGGTACTAGGTCGAGTCTTTGTCAAGGGGGAAGGTCGAGGGAAGGGTGAAGCGTGAGTGGCTGCAAACGAGTGAAGCTCCAGCGAAAAGATGGAGCATGGACGGAAACGCGTGGAGCAACGAGGGGCGCGCAGTGGACCGACGTTCGAGTCCAGGCGGAAGCTGCGAGCGTGGAGTGATCCTAGCGCGGGCCGATTGCAGGGATTTCTCTTCGTATGAGGAAGGGGGGAGGTGGACCTGCACCTGCCATTGGCTGCACCTCCTGCAGAGGCACTTTGGCAAGCATTCTACGTCATGTCGCGATACATCCTTGTCAATGGGCAAGATAAGCAATCTGCTACGGGACATGGGGGAAACATGACGGCACAACTCATTCTGGGCTCCTCGGCCGCTCGACACGCCCGAGTCTTGTACTCGAGCTGCCATCTGGCCATGGCTGACCGTCCATTACCTGTGCCGCGCCATTTGCAGTGCAACGCTAATCCGGCAACTCGATGAACGGACCTGCTTTTTTACGATGCAGGACAAACAAGAGGATCTTCGGCAGACGTGCAGCGCATGCAGTGCTGAGGACATCCCGCACTAGAGACCTCGTACCGGTACCTGTACAAGTCCACAACCCGCCGCGCGGCGTCCCCTCCTACCCCCAAAGCTGGACGGTGATCTGAGGGAACCTATGGAACCCCGACCCTGATTTTTCTCTGCTACTATTCGCCGCTTGCCGAACTACCTTACTTAGTCAAGTCAAGAGGTAGAGGGAGAGAGGGAGAAAAAAAAGTCAATGGCCGATCTCGCGAAAACCGGTTGGATCTCTGGGCGTTTGAACTTGGCTTTGATGCATGGGGTCTCTGGACCCAGAAAATCTTGCATGGTGCGACGTAGCATCCAGCAGTATTATTAGGCCCAGCACGCGGCCAACCGGTAACAGGTTTACCTGCGCTTCAGGCGTTTGGTTGATTCGGTCCAACGGCCCGACTGCATGGAGATGCGCCGTGCATGTCATGTTTATTTGCATTGTGATGGACAGCCTCGACGTTTCGCCTGTTGGTGTCCATTTTGTATGCTTGAATACTATGACCAAAGGTACGTTATCGGGCGATGACGACGACGGGTGTGTCGCAGGGTGCCATTGTCGCCAGCTGCTACCTTTCATTTGACGAGAGCGACGGTCGAAACGTTCTCCCCCGTGCCCCTTGCCTCATTGACTCAATCGATGACCTTCGTCAGCCTTGCATGCCCGTTCCGAAAGCCGCAGAAGACGCCCGCCACGATTGACGCCGAGATTCGCTGATCGAGTCCGCAAACGATTTTCTCCAGTAGGTATTCAGGATAGCGCACACGCCACGGAAAAACCATCAGCGCCACGTTGAATCCTGGCTACTTGATAGGGTGGCTAGCTATCGAAAACACATGCGCAGATGGCAGCAGCTGGTGCATGAATCCATATTCGACCACTGACACCCCATATGTTCTATTTGCTACCGACGTACCTAACCAGAATCGTGCGCTTCGTGGCTTACACGATCGTCGTCAAGCAGTATCAACAATAGAACTTATGCTGCTGGGCCCTTCGCTGTCACCCCGGATATCGTTAGGCACGGTTGCGCCGTATAATTTCCTATGGCTGAGCATCTCATCATCCTCCCTCCTCCATTGTGCTAGTGTCGAGATGGCTTCTTGGGTGTCCACATGGCCCTCTCCATTGGCCTTCAAACCAAACTCGACAGAAGCCTGCATCCACTTGGCGGCATCCTTACTTCGACCTCTCTCATAGCATATGCAGGCCAGATCAAAACATTCCAACGGGAAACTGCTGGGCTCCCCTTGGTCCTCGTTCATCAGGCTGACAGTCTGCGCATACAACTCGTCTGTTTCAACTTCCAGTCCCTGCATCAGCATCAAGTATGCCAAATTGACCTTCGCTGCGATAGTCCGAGGGTGTGACTGTCCGTATACTCTAGACGTCGCCCTCAGATACCTGTTCTGTAATTCGCTCGCTGCCCAGTATCGACCTTGACGTATGTAAATGATTTCCAAACCCTGCATGTCGATTAGGGTGCCTCGGTGTTCATCGCCATGGATACTCGACATGATGTTCAAGTTTCTGTCCAGCAACGCCTCAGCCAGGTCGTAGCGCTTTTGATGGCAGTATATCTTGGCCAGATGTCTTTCCATGCAAAGGGCCAGGGTGCCGCTCTCGCCAAACACATGCCGGGCCATCTCAACTGCATAGGCCTGAAGCTTTTCAGCCTCATCGATTCGGCCCTGGTGTCGGTACGCGAACGCCAAAATATCTGCGGTCGCTAGCGCCAGAACACTCTGTTCGCCATGGCGCCTCCTTGCTGTTTCCAGCAAGTACGTGCATGTCTCTTCAGCCTTGACAGGTTGTCCTGTGCTCACATACAATAACCCTAACACACTCAAAGAATACAAAGTTTCGTCATGTTCTTTGTCCAACATTCTTTTGCGCAGACTGAGTGCCGTCTCGATTAATCCCAGAGCTCTAAAGGGCTTCCCTATTTCGAGCATGTAACATGCCATGTGGTGCATGAGTCTAGCTCGGTCAATCGAGGACTCTGAATCGGGAGCTTCTCGGTCCACGAGCTTATGGAAATGAGGTAACAGCGCTTGGCATCTTTCCCAGGTCCCAAATTCTCCGTTGGGGAAGCTGATGGCCGCCAAGCGTATAAAGAGTTTCCTCCATCGCTCCGGTTCGCCAAACTCTGCTAGCCATTTTTGCGTGCAGAACTGAACAAGGGCATGCATGTCGTAGAAGCCAAGTGTGGTTGTGGGAACGATGAGAGAATAGCCCATGAGAGCATCAAGGTCGTCTTCAAGTTGGCCGTCGTCGGAATTGGCTTCGGGCTCGCCAGGCGGTTGGTCATCTGGCAAGGACCACTCTCGTTGACTTGAGTCATGCCTGGTTCTTGAAGAAAGGCCGACGTAGCCCTGGAGAACTTCTTCCGGAATGTTCTGAGAGTGAAAGAAGCTCATGAGCGACAGTAGTTCGGCTGACGACGGTCTTTCTCGACGAATCTGTTCAAAGGTGATCTGCCAGGTGACGACAATGGAGTTTGATGCGCTTTCCAGTCTCCTCAGGTCTCCAGAGTCATGGTTTAGGAGACTCCCTTGCCGCGCCTCGTTCTTCCGGAAATTCTGGACATACGACTGGATAGACTGTCGAGGGGTTCAGCGGTTGATGTACGCAACCGCCTGGGTGACGGCAAGCGGGATCAATTCAAGGATCTGAACAAGTTCCTCCGCGGCGGTCTTTTCGTAAACGAAGGCCGCATTGTTGTGGACAAGCTGTAAACATTCGGCCTGGCCCATAGTTGGTATTTGGATGACAGAATGATGACCACCTGTCAGCCTTTCTGCGGCATTCATGCTTCGCGTCGTGACCAGAATTTTCCCATCTCCAGTCTTGGGTAAGTACGCTGCTAGAGGCTCATGCGTCTCGTGACTGCTGGCTGAACTGGTACTCTGGGCGGTATCCGTAGCGAAGAATACGTCGACATCATCGGCATTATCAAGGATCATGAGCCACTTTCCAGGCTTCGGACCTGTGAGCCAGTCTCGGACAAGTGTAAGGATGCTCACACCAGGCTCATGGCGTCGAGGAATCTCGAGTAAGTCCGCCAGGGAGCGGTAGGATTGCTCCATTCTCGCTCGTGTGCTGCCGTGTACCCAGAAGACGCTGGTAGCGGCATCAGAGATTGTCTCTCGGACACGATATGCGAATTCGATGGCGATCTGGGACTTTCTAAGGCCTTTTAGTACGAGCAACAATGAGGTACTATGTCCCCTGTTGACGGCCCAAAAGAAGAACGGGGCTTACCCAAACCCGCCCATGCCCACGAGGGCTATACGCTGTCGAGAGCCTTTGTATTGGTCTTCCAATCGTTGCATGAGTGTAGACCGGTCGACGAAATCCGGATCGCGAGGGAACGGTATCGTGAAGCATGCTGCGGGTAGATCAGGGCTAGGGGGCTTCGTGGGCGCCTTCTCTGCAAACTGCAAAGTCATCTGCTCCATCAACCTTGTATTTCTCTGGAGGAGACGAGTTTGGTCCATTTGTAGTGCATCCGTGATGACCCTCTGATAGCGCTCAAAATTTTGGACCATGGCATCGACGTCTTTCTTCTTGAATGGCCACTGAAGAGCTCGAGAGCCGATACGACGCATCCGCGATCCTGTGGCAGCGGGCTCTAACTTCGACTGCAGGGCGTAAAGTTCGTTCTTACACTCGCCTAGAGTTTTTGCTACCTTCGCTAATGTGAGAAGTGAGCTGCTTGGTCCGTCTGACGGTTTTCCGCTTGAAACGCGATCTTCTTCCAAAAGCTTGTTTGCATCCTCCACCACGAAACGGAGTTTCTTGACATGACTTGACAGACGTTCGATCTCTTCTCGAGCACCAGCGACAGCGATCGAATACTGGTAACATAATCTGGCAACTTGTGCAGATAGGTCAACCACGGCAATCACGTTAGCCGCGATACCAAGACCTTCCATGTCGAAGGACGCCAGCGTGGACGATCAAAGGCACGAAAAAAACTAGAGAGTCAGTGTTGATTCGCACGAGCTGCGGATTCAGAGTTCAGGCGCGGTTTGCTGGGACCGATGTTGTCTGGCAGCCCTCGAGGAAGTGCTTGCGGCTATCAGAATGGTAAGACTGCTGATGTTGGTATCCTGGAGCCTTGTCTCGCCATGTGTCGAGCGGGGTACCGCGCGCGGGGCTGACAGGAGCCAAAGTGTAGAAAGTGAAAGATGCATGATAATGCTGTATAAACGTCATTGGCTCGAGGCTGATGTACATCAACTCTGTGTTGCACAGAACGCGAGAGACGGAGAAAACGGTCCCTTGCCATGTCTGCTTCAGGAGATCGACAACTTGCGGACGAACAGACACATTTCCAGCACATGGAGAGTGTCTAACGACATGAAGGTCTGGGCCCTAGGTACGCAGTGGATGTGGGTTGAAAAAGAAGCAAGCAAGCTGTCGTTGTGGCAGGTGGCAGGCAGATGGAGCTCAAGCATCGCAGCAGAAAAGGAAGGAGACGTGCCTCAATCTGTGTCTCCCTTCAAGCGTGCGCACATAAACTGTTCCAAGCCTCTTCGAAGGAAAGAGCGCAAACTATTAGATGCGGCCTGTTCAGCGCCATTACTTTGCCAGCGATGCAGACCTCGGCCGTGCTTAGCAGCTGGCAATATTGACGGCCAAACGGTTTCATGACGATGACAAGGGCTGGATGTGGCATGCGAACAGACGCTCCGGCCCCGTGACTACTTCTTACCACTCAGATCCCCCGGATTCATCGGATCCTCTAGTGCACCTCAGCTTACCTGCAACACACCTGCACTGAATCTCATGTTAGGCGTTAGTTCCAAGACGATCTAGGCAGTCGATGTTATCTGGAATGATCCGCCTCGAGGTACCGACCAAATAGATAGGAAACGCCACCGCTGCGTCATCATGGTAATTGTCAATCCCCATGACGGCAAAGTCTAATATTTTGGAGATGTTGACGTTCAAACATAAGCGCACGATCACTGCCCATTAGTAGTCGCTCCCTTGGCGGCGATGGCAGGACGTCAGGGATTGCCCCCCTGAAACACCACCAGAGCCCCCCCCCCAAGCATGAACGAGGCCCGTGGGACCGACGCGTGCGAGTCTGTGCCACACTCAGAGAACACCTCACTGACCACAAGCTGCCAGGCGCGCCCTTGCTTCGAAACGAACTCTTTTCTGCTCTTGCGTTCGAGTTTGATGGTTTTCGGCAATCCCGTTGGTCAGGATTGCCTGCCGAGGCCTTTCCTTCCTTTGTGCGAGTTCCTGATCGCCAATCTCTGGCACAAGATCGCCAGTCCTTGTCTGGGGGAATAACCCTTGCACATGCCTCAGAGGGTGACCTCTCAATGGCTGGAGGCAGACTGTTTCTCACGAGTCGAATGGGGCTGAAGCCCATCTGTGGGCTTCCTCGGTGAAGCGACTGTGGCGGTCAAACTTTCCTTCCGCTCCTGCGCGTCATCCACTGTAACAGTTGGTCTCTGTTCGCCGCTTGGCACTTCTTTTTTGCGATCCATCCTCGTGTACGAAACTATCTTCAGCAGACTCATGGGGCGTCCATCAAGTCCAAGACCACTTCGCTCGCTCGACTTCTGCTTAGAGACCTTGGTGGCCCTGTTCGTTTACAAGACGCTTGACGCCGTTGTCGCCCAACTTGCCCGTGTCTGGGCCTTGAAGGACCCGGACCCGTCGGCGGCGGTGTGCCAGCCCTTCGGACGAAACTGACGCAGCGGCTTGAAGATGTGTCTACCTGTCGGTGCCTCGCGAGTGCGAGGCCTTTCCCCCCGACCTATGTGGCAGCTGGACATGACTTAAACGACCCGCCGCCCGCCGTCTGGGCTAGGGGCTTTTGTCTATCGTCATGTAGGCTGGCTGTCGTCGTGGAGGGTTCGTCGACGAACGTCATCTTTTGGCGTCACATAGCGTCCGCTTTGACTTCAGCGTGTGCTCTCCCATATAACCATTATACCCTCAACATGTCACTCAAGTTCTACAAGACACCAAAGGAAGACCATCCTTGGCGGTCGCCCGTTCAAGATGACACATGCAATCGCTACGCTGCGGCAGCCGCCAGGGCGAAGAAGTGGCTGCCTCCTACATTACGCTTCGAACAAGTTGTCAGGAATCATACCATGCCGGTAGGCGCATGAGCCCCTCCCGCCTCATGGATGTCCTGCTAATTAGCAACAGCCCTGCTCTTTGAATGACTTTATGGATTACTTGGTCTACGTCGAACAGAACGCCGAGCCCCTGCAGTTCTTCCTCTGGTATTGCGGCTACGTCCAGAGCTGGATGGAACTTGACGCCCATGAGCGTGCCCTCGTGCCTCGCTGGGATCCCGCCGACGCTGAGGCCCGCGCCGCTGCGAAGACTGACGCCGATCGCAAGCGTAGAGGGCCCCGTGTCGCCATGTCAGGTCGCTACCGAAGGGCGCGCAATGCCAGTAAGGTCAGCAACATTCTCGAAATATTGGACGCCGACGGGGAGGAAAAGGAGGAGAAGCAACTTCTGGGATCCGCGAGTCCCGCCTCCTCGAGGCCGTCCAAGAACTTTTCGAGGCCATCGGCGCCCCCCGGCACCGTCGAGGCCTGGATATCACCTCGTGAGCTTCTTTGTCCGTACTCTCCTTGTCTAGCACGCTGACATATCTAGCCCACCAACCCTTCCGTGACGAGGTTACACAAATCCTGAACCACTACGTCGACCCGTCTGCGCCCCGCTCACTGAGCCTTACCATGCGGGATCGCGCTGCCATTGCTGACGCGACAGCTCACACAACCCACCCGACCTCCCTACTCCCTGCTTTTGAAAAGGCCGACGCCATTCTCCGGGGCCACCTCCACCCAAACTTCATCCGCTCATCCATTGCCAACACAAACAGCCCAACGATTTACGTGCTGCGCGTGTCCGCTTGGCTCCTGTTGATGCTCGGCTCAGTGCCGCAGCTGCACTAAACCTCTGCACCGCGCGGTTTGCGCTAAGCCGGTACTGGCGGATTGCGCCTTTCGCCTTGTGGGCACCCGGCTTCGCGATTCTTGTCGCCGCTGCCGATGGATTATCAATCTCACTGTACTTTGCTGGGAGGCGGCAGCTTCGTCCGTGGGAGGCACAACCCACACCGGCCGAGCTTGAGGACGCGAGCTGGCGCGGCCGAAGGGCGGCCCGGAGGGCTACCGCCGCGGCATCACCGGCAGGTGACGATCCACTGCGGAAGCCGAGTCTTCGGACCTTTGGTCCAGGGAACGGGTTCCGAAGCGAATGGTGGGTGCGCGCCTATGCGAAGACGGGACTTTGGTGGCGGATCTTTGAGACGACGAGACCTGTCGGCGAAGGAGAGGTCAGAGTTCTCCAGGACGGGGTAGTGATTACCGCGTTTATCTGGGCGTTTGTGCTCGCTGGAGGGTTAGCGGCGGGATCGGTTTTTGTGCCTGCTTTTGATCCGTGGACGATGAAGGTGATGTGAATGACTGCGGAGGCTATAGTAGTAATAATATGCCATAATATTAAGTTTAGCAGCAGATCATCGAGGCATCAACTGAGATCCCCACGTCTCTTCTCCACCAAAGGGGCATTCGAAAACTTTACTTGGTACTCCGAACGGAGCCGCGATGCAAGGGATGAGTTATCTTCGCTAATAGAGAGGGTCATTAATCCCTAACTGTTGCAACGTCGAGCAACATTCTAACTTAAATGTATGCGATTTCGACCAAATTCAAGTATAAAAACAGTGGAATGATAGAAACATTTGTAGGATTCAGGCAGTTAGAATAGCCTTAGACTTGAGAGTCAGCCGCAGACATCTTGGGAACCCTTGTGGATTGGGCCATCTGTCGTATCATGGAAGGTTTGCGTGACCGACTCAGTCACTCCACTCGGCTGAAACGAGTAGTCTTCTCGATGATTCTCTGATCTTGTTGTCGTGATGCGTTGAGCACCTCGTACCTTGCACACAAAACATGAAGTTTAGGGGCACATTTACTTCGTGTGGTTCGGACAAGACAAACAGTAGAAGAGAGATGCGGCTCGTGGCACAGCGTGTAGGCGTCCTCGTACTCTGTCAGCGCAGCGGCAAGTGCTTTACGACGACATAATCAACCGAGAAAAATACAATGCACAGACAACGCAAGGCTTACTCAGGCAGACTTCGGATCCATGGTGTATCCAAACACAGAGCCTGCAGCCGGACGGGCGCAGGTACTTTGCCTGAGTCGTCTGCGGTGCGAGCTGCCCAGGGGACTAGCTGAGTGCTCAGCCAGGCTCCTTTGAGCGCCCGCAGACTCCGGAGGGGCATGCAAAATCGCTGGCACATGGCTTTCGGGAGCTGGAAAGCCAAGGCCATGTGTGACCTAGAGATATGCTGCTCGTCGTCAATTGCGGGCGCTGGAGATGAATGACCAAGGAAGCGATGGTGGTGACCTCGGAAGGACTTCACAACAAGGTCAACACCAAAGTGTCAGAAGCGTGATTCGGAGAAGAAGTTCGGGGTATGGAGAGAGGACGCCACATGGGATGCCTGCAGGCCAAACAGTTCATCACGTGGAGCTGGGGGCTGGGGCTGGAACAGCTTCGATGCCGCCCTCATACGATGAGACCAGTTCAAGTTTGTGTGCAGGCGTCTTGTTGCGTGTCGACAACCTCCGCAGCGACCTCGTGGGCACCTCCCAAGGCGTCCGTGTTGGTTGTGCTCCCAGACTGTTCCGAGACGGGGGCCAGCGCGCGTTGCAGAAAATGGGTCGACAGCTCGCGTGCGCCGGCCATTGATGGGCCGCGGGTCAAATGAGGGTGGGACGCCGTGCGGGCGTCCGGGGATCATCCTGCGCGTGCCAGGCTGCCGGTTCCCACCACTTTGCGCGCCATCCAGGCCATGTTGCGGGCGCTCTTCTGCATCGCTACGGGGTGTGATTTGTCCGTTGGTGAGTCCGGAGGGGGACTCGGTTCGCTGTTCTGAGGGGAATGCGGTCCTAGCCGATGCTGTGACTTTGTCTGCCTGGGGCCGGGGCCAAGGGACATGGCTCGACGGTTCGAACTCGTCGACAGATGGCGCGGTGGAAGGGCATCTCCGGATCTGCCTCAGGCCAGACCAGTATACCAAGAACTCATGTCAGAAAGCTCAAATGCCGTGGGGGATCTGTGATGTCTCGGGTTGGGGGGTTGGATCAGGGACCCCACCATACCTAGGTATCCACGCAGTGCCGTCTAAATGGAAAAGAATAGATGTACTATTGAAGTACTGAGGGGCTGGTATGACAACACTTGGTAGGTTGGCTTCTTGGTGTCTTCAACCCCCGCGCTCCTCACGGCCAAAAACGAGGAGCAATCGAAAAAGCTTTGCGACACTAACATTTGCCAAGAAGACCCAGCGAGCTGTCTCCCGCATGCCTCGACAGAAGGGAGGGGGAAGATGCCAGGGCAGGACGAGTCGGGCATGTCGCAGTGCATCCATCCTTCGAAACCCACAGGGTACATGGCAGTACGTGTACATGACGGGGTACATGCTGTGCCTGAACATGCGGGCAGGCAAAAGACGCACAATGAGGACAGAAAGCACGCAGTAAACCGAGGCAGATGGGAATGTCGAATTGCCGAAAATCTTCTTAGAAGAAAGCCTAACGAGATGGCACGACATAACTTGCCAGACCAGGTGTGTTGCCCTTTGGGTAGGAAAGTACATAGGTAAGGCAGGTACCTCGAGGCAACGCCTATCCCCCCAGGTACCTTGCCGTGATGATGGCCGGGCAGGTGCAACGCAAGGTGGAGAGCAGGAACATCGGAAGCCAGCTCTTGCCGACCTCCACTAAATAGTCGAGTCTCACCTTATCTTGTCCCTCACCCAGGCCAATAACCCCCCGAAGACCATGGCACTACAGGCAGACGAGTCCTTCCCCCCCCCAAAGGATAAGGCCCCACCACCCCCTCCCATCTGGCTGGGT